ACACTGCACACACACAACATACACACCGAGACCAAAACACCCACAGCCACGCGCACTGGATTCATTGTTCTACTTCCATAATCTTGAACGCGCACGACTGAAGTCTCATACTATGAATGAATGTCCCGTGATAACGTACGGTCCTTCGCACTTTGGGATCAGCAAAATCAATGGTAACTCTTTCTCCCAATCTCCTCCATTTAGGTGCTAACCATTCCTTTAACTTCCGGCTATTTCTCTCTGTAAGCCCGTTTATCTGCGGATGATACGGTGTAGTTCGTATCCCCTTGATGCCAAACTGCTTTAGACGGGCTTTAAACTCATCACTTTTCAAAACAGGGACCCATGGCTCAGTTAATATCACATTCCCGTATTCCGTGACACGCTGCAATATGCCCAGATTACCACCTCGGTCATTGTTCTTGCCCGCTGGTCTGGAATGGATACGGCATTTTATACAATGTGTAGCCTTTACTAGTTCCCCGCTGCTGGGGGACAAGAATCGGCAGGCACACTCTAGCAATAATAATTGCACGACGCCAACAACTGTGCCCCTGACCCCCCCACCATACTCGGCAGCGCACGGCGCAGCAACATCGTGAGCTCCACAGCCAGTATCAGTGGGTCACAGTCGACAGACAACCTCGCCAACCGGAACCTCTGCGGCGCCTCCTCTCTGTCCACTTGGCCGACAAACTCCTTCGTTCCGTCACCGTCTCCCACGCAGTCTTCCCGGCGTGGACTCGTATGCATATAGTGAACCACATGGCATGATAACTATCACTGTACTGACTAGTGACATAGCTTCATGAAAGAATTCTAGTGATAAGCCGTGATCAATGGATGCCAACTCAGCCATCAAGAGAGACCCGATGGTCCTGGACTCAGTTTCTACTTCCAGTGTCTTGAACGCGTACCAACTGAAAAGTCTCATACCCATGAATGAAATGTCAATTTTCCACATGGACCATTTCCCATCTTTCACTCTCTGCACAGCATTGTTATTTTTTCTTCTAAAAGACCAAAATCAAAATCACAAAAGAAATTTTATTTGTAACTATGAATCGATCAATGTTAGACTACTCCCACCACCATTAGAGAAACCTGGAAGAGGCACTGAAAGACGGCCGTTTCATCCTGGTATGGGACTACTCATCAGTGAACAGTGCGCATCCACGAGTTAGACATTAACACCAGTTAGATACCGGCTCAGTGGTCTAACGGTTAAGGGCATTCGCGCACAGTATCGAAAGTCCTTGGTTCGAATCCTGCGGGGTGCAGAAGTCGTGGATGCGCACCGTTGAGGAGCCCCATAGTAGGGACGAAACGGCCGTCGGTGCGGTGCTTCCAGGTTTCTATTGGTGGTAGTCTAACATTGATCGATTCATGGTTACAAATAAAAAACTTAACAATCTTCACAACAACCCCGCAACACAAAAGAAATATCGATATTAAATTATTTTCTTTTCGTCACAAAAAAAAGTTAAAATAAAATAAAACATGATCGATCTAATTAATTAATTAGTTAAATTTTTTCTCTCAATATACCTGACTAAATAATATCCATATTTATATATATTCATCATTGACATTCGAACATTTTCATCTTTTTAAACAAATTCATTTTCAATGTGAAAATATTAATTTCCGCCATTCGATGAAATAAGAAATAATCATCAGTAAAAAAAAACACGTAAAGTAAAGTAAAACACAAGTCATTCAAAAGAAAAGTATAAATCATGAGGAGAAAAAGAGGAAAAACTTGCTTTAAAACCACCAAAATGTAGCTGAACGGAACAATCACAGGAACCGCAAACTCATATCAATCAAAAAAAACCAAGAATCAACCCCAAAAGACGATAAAACATTTTGTGAAATAAACAACTAAAAAAAAAACGAACTGAAATGAAAAGTTAGTCGAAGACAGAGAGTGAGAGACACCAAATCACGAACTCACAATAGAATTCATTGCAAAAGAAAATATGTCTCTTAATCGTTTGGTTTTAATAAATTGCGATTTTTTACAAAATTCGTTGTGACAACTGTGTGTTCATTGTATCTAAAAAATATGTGTGTACTACAGTGTATATATATCATATGCTTCATGATAAGTTAGTGAGAAAACGGTTATTTAAATTACTCATCATTAAAAATTAATCACTAACAAATATACTACTTAAAAAATATTCAGTAGTAATGTTGTGTTTTTATAAAAAAAGAGACGGAGAATATGGCATTATTCATTGTTTTTGAAAGACTTTTATGTAATATCAGGATTGTTTTTTTTTCAAATAACCACAGAAAGCTTGATTCTTTGTGAATGATATCATTTGTAATCCCACAAAACTGAAGAAGTTAGGAAGAGAATGAATGATAATCTAAATAAGAAATAAAAATCAATCCGTTGAGGCACTGTCTACAGCTAACATACACACACCTGTATCATTCAAATTAATATTGTTTTACTGGAATACGTGAACTAGAATAAGATCTTGTGGGGATTGGGATTAATGAACGATGTTGCGATTTGGATTTTAGATTATTATTATTATGAACAGTAATGAAGTGTTCAGTTTGTTTTTGACTTGGCGTTTTATTCTCATCTATTGTATATACAATTTGTACTGGTTTATTACGTGATTGATGTTTGTGAATGGAGGTTGTTGGCGTTGATGATGACGAAGATGTGGTGGATATTTTTTTCGGAGTGAACATGTTAGCAGATCTACTACGTTTTTGATTTTGTTGACTAGTTCTACTCTGTTGTTGGGGTTGTTGTTGTTGTACAGTGTATTTTTCATCCGTTCTATAATGATAATCGGTTTTCATAAATGAATTTTTTGTTGGTGTGGAATTTTTCGTCGGATTTTTTATATGTATTTCATGATGCTGCTGATTATTATTATAAGTAGTATAATTATTTTTCGTAAATTTATTTGGTAACACTGTGATTAATTCTATTGGTTTTGAATTTTTAATTTGACCATTCATTATGGGTTTTTTACTGTTTATATTTAAAGAGTTCAACGATTTGGAAAGATTTGATTTTTGTTGAATAGAATGATGATTTCTGATTGGTGTATTTTGATTACTATACATCTTAGTATCTAATACATAAGGTCTATTATTGACAACCACGTAGGATGGTGTAGTAACTTTAGATTTTTCCATATTCGGTCTAACAATAGTAATTGTAGTAGATTTTTGTTTAAGTGGTATAGCAGTAGTAGTAGTTAGTGGTTTTTTGATTAGATTACTATCAATACTACTATGACTATGCATATTACTACTACTACTATTGATGGTGGTATCATTGAAACTTTCATTGGACCAATGTTGTTTATCTGTAATTGACGTAGTGGTGGACACATCTTCTACTGATTGGTCAGTGAGTTTATATCGTGGAAATTGTGTAGAATAATTGAAATCTTCATCTTCATCATTTATTGTGGATAAATTTAATTCAGAACGAAACTGTTATGGGAAAAGAGAATGTTGTTAAGATTTTATTATTTTTTTAGAAAAAACCAGTCTGAATTAATGAAGTTTGAAAAGGATTATTTCAGTCAAGTATGAGTTCATTCCTACTTTAATTTCGCCTTGTTACTGCCCATCGTGGAGTATAGGCTACCGACTAGCATTCTTCAATCTAATCTGTCCTGGTGGGTCTTCCTTTTCTGGTTCTGTCCAGTTATATTGCAGTTTATTCTTCTCATGTCTGTAAATTGGGAATCGATTCCAGAACCTGCGGTCTCGTGCACAAACAGTTATTTCTTGACATAATAATAGCCATTATTTCTGACTAATGACTATATTTGTTAGGCGATTCCTTAAGTTCTGGTTGTATTGAAGGAGAACACAGGTGAGGGCAACCGAATAGTATTTATCGAAAATTACAGAGTTAGCTACTCAGTAAAATCGGAAAACCATATCGTAAACCGTTAATTTGAAAATATTCAATCCATCATCAATCCATTGTCTGACATTTCACTCACTATTCATGCGTTTCATACAAATTCCATTGTGTTCCCACTCTTCCTTTCTTGATCTTCCCCCATCTTCTGCTGCCAGACATTACGTTTACACTCGCGTCATATACTACTTAGAAGTAGCGCACGCTACATGGTGAGAAGTCATGATGAACAAGGTAGGCTCTGAGGTTGTTACCTCCGACAGACAATGGATGATAGTCACGCAATATTGTTGATTGATTGAAGTTAGGCATTAATATTGTTGGATCCTGACTCATTGGTCAAAGGTATAAACTTTCGCGTACGAGACCGAGGGTGTTGAGTTTTTCAAATAGTGGTCTAAGATAGATCAGTTCATGAGTTCAATGAAACCTAGCAACCTTATACCGACATAGGTAATGAATATCTGAAAGTGAAGTGTCCAAACCAATAAACTCACTGTCGAATCAATCGCTTTGGTGATATTTTGACATTTCAGTTGTTTCCTGAAAACTACAAAACATTCAATCATCGTTAAATCATAGTTCGAAACTTGGAAGCATTGAATAGTAGTTTCATCCTAGTATAGGACCCTTCAGTGGCAGTGCGCGATATGCGCTTGCGGGAATCATTCTAAGGACCTTCTTTCTTACATGCGAACGCTTGACCTCGAGACCACTGAGTCGGTATCCAAATTTATTCAGTTCACAATAGTGTGCGACCTTACTCATTATCTTTGGTGTGTAAGTGCCTACACCTGATTGGGTTGAACTCCGCACTATAGACTCACTATTAAATAGTTTGGTGAGGGAGTTCTTGGAATTCTAGTGAGAAGCTATAACCAGCGGAGTTCAACTCTGTCAGGTGTAAGCCGATACCTACCGAAGACAATAAGAAAGGTTGTGAAATATCTTGGATTGATCAAAGTTTGACATTAACACCATTGGATGCCAGATGATCCAGACGTTAGGCAACCCCGGTTCGAGTCCCTCGTACTGTCATCGTGTATGCGCACTGTTGATGAGATGGTGGAGAAAACTTGTAGCTCAGGTGGATGATTGTGGTGGTGTTTTGTTCTCTGAGCTGGTTGTTTTGGTTGTGAAGCTTTCATTGTTCTCCTTCTGAACAATGAACATCATCAGCACAAACTTCAGATAGCAGAAGTGAAGTATTCGAATTTCTCCACATTTGACCTGTAGCTTGTTCTACTAACTTCGATCTTGATTATTTGCTGTTGACCTTGAATCTTTCGTTGTTTGCGACTTTGTTTTGTTGTTCAGAAGGCGAACAATGAAAGCTCCACAAACAAAACAACCAGCTCAAAGAACAAAACACCACCACAAGCACTGTTGATACTAGGACGAAACGGCCATCTAGTGCTTCCAGATTTCTAATCCCTTTGTAACCATCACTGATTCATGATTTCACTGACAAAAACAACAATCTTCATAACTCACTCTGTTATGAAATATATATACATGACACTTATGTTTACTTACTTGTGATTTAGTAGGACATTTCGGTTCGTTGAAATTCTTTGAATCCTTATTCAATGTACAATGTTTTTCACATTGAGTATAATTTTTATTGATTCCATCTTGTGAAAATTGATTATTGAATTGTTGTGTTAATCCATTATTATTCATTTGTTTTACTCGACTATTCTCAGCACCACAATGATGATGATTTTGTGTGAGTTTTTCATTGGATAATGTACGTTCCTTATTGTTATTGTTGATAAAATTTAATTTACATTGTAAAATGTTTTCATGTGTTTGTTCATGGTGGACTATTTGTGCTGGTGTATTTGTTTGAATGCAATGATTTTTATTTAAATGATCAATCGGATTCGCGGTTTCTTGTTGATTTGTTGAATTTAATTGACATGATTTTACTTTAAAATGAGTGGAATAAGAGTAGAAATAAAACAGAAGAATTACAGAATAGTTACAATTGTACAGAGGTCGTTTGTTTAATTTCTATGTTTTAATAAGATTACTTATTATATTCCTATGTCTGGACAATCTGGACTTTGCAGATGTGATGGTTCTTCTATCGCACACACGAAACAACAAATGCAAGAGAAGACGACCAGTGTAGCATCAGCCTCAGCAGCAGCTGCTCAACATATATAAAGGGAAAAGTAAGATTTTCCAATACAAAACAACATGCTCCAACCAGATCACTATTGATCGACATCCCTTCGAAGACGTTAACACCTTTACATATCTGGGCAGCATCATCAACAACCAAGGTGGATCGGATGCAGATGTGAGGGCGCGGATTGTCAAAGCAAGGGCTGCATTTCTACAGTTGAAAAATATCTGGAACCCCAAACAACTTTCAATCAACACCAAAATTAGGATTTTCAATATAAATGTTAAGAAAGTTCTACTGTATGGAGCGGAAACCTGGAGAACTACCAAAGCCATCATCCACAAGATACAAGTGTTTATTAACAGTTGTCTACGCAAAATACTTCGGATTCGTTGGCCAGACACCGTCAGCAACAACGTACTGTGGGAGAGAACAAACCAGATTCCAGTGGAGGAGGAAATCAGGAAGAAGCGGTGAAAGTGGATAGGACAAACATTGCGAAAAGCACCTAACTGCGTCACAAGACAAGCCCTCACATGGAACCCTCAGGACAAAAGGAAAAGAGGAAGTCCAAGGAACACATTACGCTGAGAAATAGAGAATGATATGAGAAGAATGAACAAAAACTGGACAGAATTGGAAAGAGAAGCCGATGACAGAGTTGGCTGGAGAAAACTGGTGGGCGGCATATGCTTGATTGGGGGTAACAGGTGTATGTAATGTAATGTAGTATTCCTATCTAGGTCAATCAGTCAGCTCTACATACGTAAGTAGGTACATTAGTTCAAGTTGCCATACTACATTAGCACAGAAAGATGGAGTTGTCAATGCGAATCCGATAAGTGGAGATGTAGTAGAACTATTAGTGGTAATGAAAAGACTAGGATGCGAAGATATTATTCAAGAAGTACAATTAAATTAAAATAACTTTAGTAAGAGAAAGATAGAGGTGATGAGGAATTCAGAAGGTTAGAATTTGACAGAAGATAAATAATGGATGCATCTGCGCTATTGCGAACGATTTTGAGCCAAGTCATTCGAAAAATCTAACCATCGCAGACCCCAACCTGGTAGTCGAAACTTACCAGCATGACTCAATCCAGCTGTCAGTGACTTCATAGATTTGACCGCCTCTAGCTTTCTTCTAACCTATTCCTACACCACAAAACGTCGCTAGTCGAGGCAGTCGGTAGCTGGGCATTAGTAACAGTTGTCCTAATCACCTCAACTGTTGTAGTTTCAATACTTCATCTATTAATCTGTCATCCTAACCTTAAGTACTCTCTTCCGAGCAGCAGTATTGCCTACTCGGTGGTCCCACGATGTACAAGCGATGTTTGGAAGATACCTATGGTCGAATACCAGTAATCTAATAATATCCTCTACTCCTACTGGCTATGTTTTACGCCGTTTAGTAGATGGACATCTTGCTTACGCCATAAGTGACGCCGGCAGGCTTAAGCTAAACTAGTCTTCTGTATCCGCGCTGAGATTTCGTCAGACACAAGATCGTCAGCACTGAAGCAACTACCAAGATAGGTAAGGCGATTGACACGCTCAACTTCAATCAATTCGCACTCTTGTGTGACCATTATACATTGTCTTGCGTATAAGACTGCCTCATATCCAACAAAGTTGATCTCCACTTCTCATCAGAACTTGGCAAATTCTTTGACGGAGCTATAGTCATTAGTGAACACATAATGATTGTCAGTATAAGGATTGAGGAGATTGTTGGATTTCATTGCTTTCATAAATCAATCAATGATAAACCTGATTGGATAGCCGCTCGCTGAGTCGTGGATACACAATGACACGCAGGAGTCCCATACAAGAAAGAACCAACCATCCATAGCTTCCAGGTTTCTAATGGTGGTTTACATTGACCGATCCATGAGTTCAATGAAACTCGACAAACCCTTCAACCGTATAATGACAATGGAATTCAACATCGTTTTTTCAAGCTATGTAATGCTACTTTGACATTGGTAGTGTGGTGTGTGCTACTTATACACGAACGATATAAGTAGTATAAGAAGGGACGTGAAAGAAGAACTCTCACGGTCAGAAGAGGAAACCAGAAAGCAAATGGAGCAAAAGCAAGAAGTAAATGGAGTAGTACCAACAGGAAGGAAAGGAAACTGCAACAACAGGAATGGAAGAAGGATGGAGTGTTGGAAGTCACGACTCAAAAAGATGGTGTGCAAATAGAGTAAGTATTCAATGTAATGTTTTCGTTTTTAACTGACTTAGTACATAGTACAGTCTTCCTCGCCGTCCTCAGTCTTCTCAGTAGCACTAAAGAGGTCAATTAGGTTTAAGACATTTGTTTCGTAAACATCACTCCTGTTACGAGAAAGAAGTGTGTAGGACTTCTCGAGGAATAACTATATATGCGCAGCCATATGACATGATTAAGTGAGGCAAGGCCAACTCTCCTTACCGGAAATCGTACTAGGACATTTAAGAGCTAAATTCCACCAGCCATAATGGGGCTGTATACCCACCTCCATCATAAAAGATAATATAAAAACACTTGGTATAAATGATAGTTTGGTAAAATGAACAGAGTAAAACTTTTTTTAAAAAACCTTTAAAACAGCATAGAAAATAATGCTTACCTGGATTAGTTTTACGACATTCATCATATTTTGATAGAAAATGACTTAAAGTATCCCAACCACCACCGACTCGAACCATGACATGATTCCTTAGTATCTATATTAAAAAAAAGGATTAATAAAAAACTCAATTATCAGTGGGAATACATTTTATAACAAACTTGTACTCGATAAAAATTATTCACCCAAAAACTTACAATTGAGATAGTAAACTTATGTATTCACTAGTGAATAGATAGACAGACAGACAGATACAACGCAGAAATTCGTACGTAAGTACATCAGTTCACGTCGCCATATCACATAACTGTCAGTTCAAATCCAAGAGTGATAGCGATAGTAGAAGTATTAGCAGTTATGGAGAAGATTAGGGAGCGAAGATATAATTCGAGAAGTATTATTCAGTGAGATAGATTTAGAAGGTGAAAAATAGAGACTATGAGGAATGCAGAAGCTTAGAATTTCATACAACACAAAGAATGGATGCACCTGCGCCATTGCAAACGATTCTGAGCCATGTCGTTCAAGGTCTCTAACCATTGATGACTTTCGTCTCGCGGACCCCAACCAGGTAGTCTACATCTACCAACATGACTCAGTCCACTTGTCAGTGACTTCATGGATTTGTGTCATGTTTTGGTTTGGCCGCTCCTAGCATTCTTCCAACCTACTCCAACACTGCAAAACATAGCTCGTCGAGGCAGTCGGTGGTCGGGCATTCGTAACATCTATCCCAACCACCTCAGCTGATGAAGTTTCAACACTTCAACTATTGATTTGCCATCCCTACCTACAACTCGTTTCCTAACGACAGCATTGCTTATACGGTTGTCCCAGGATACACGAGCAATGCTTCGGAGACACCGATGATCGAAGACTAGTAACCTACGAATGTCCTCTACTCTTAACGGCCATGTTTCGCATCCGTACAGTAGGACGGAGCGAACTGCTGCACAGTACACTCGTCCTTTGGTTAGCGAGCGGATATCTCACCTGCGCCATAGGTGACGCAGGTTGGCAAAAGCCAATCGAGCTTTCTGTATCCGTGCTGAGATTTCGTCAGTCACCAAGCCATCAGCGTTGACGAGACTACCCAGATAAGTGAAGCGGTCTGCACACTCGACTACTTCACTCCCTATTACTATTTCAGCTGCCGATGCAACCCAATCCTGAAACAACATTTTGTATTTCGATGGGGAGAACCGCATATCGAACATGCTTACATTGTTGCTTAGGGTAATCAGAAGACTCTGAGTTTTCTCATCGTCTTCGGCAAACAGAACTAGTGAATAGCTTCGTGAGGATATTCGCCAAGTTCTATTGACGAGACGTGATCAGTAGAGTTCAGCGCTTTTAGGGGTTTAGGTTGATACCTAGCGAAGATTATAAGTGACGTTGTGCAAAATCCTTAGATTGATCAGAGTTAGACTGTAACAATGTTGGATGTCGTTTCAGTAGTCCAGAGGTTTAGCGTTCACTGTTAGACCGCGATTAGAAGTCTGGAAGCATTGGACGACCGTTTCTTACTGGTATAGGACTGATCAGCAGTGCGCATCCACGACTCCTGCGACTCGCAGGAATCGAACCCGGGACCTTCGGTATTGTGACTAGCTTCATGAGGAAATTCTCGGAGTTCTAATGAGAAGACGTGACTAGTGGAGATCAACCCTGTCGGGTATGTGTAGGCAGTAACTATCAAAGACAGATGGGTGAGATCGCGCAAAATCCGTAGATCAATCAGAGTTAGACATTAATTAACACCGTTGTGTGCCGGCCCAGTGGTCCAATGCTTAGGCGTTCGCGCACAATAACGGACGACCCGGGTTCGAGTCCTGCGAGGTGCAGGAGTCGTGGATGCACACTGCCATTGGTGAGTCCCATACCAGAATGAAACGGCCGTCCAGTGCTTCCAGGCCTCTGCTGATAGTCTAACAATGATTGATTGATGATTTCAAATGTGTCAAAAACACAAATCTCCAAACCTCATACTGAGAATGATTATTTATCCAGAAAACTCGAACAAGCAAGTCAAACAATAGAATAAGCTTTGTTACAAAATTCCTAGACCATTAGTGATTTTGAGTATGATATTCTTTTATAATAGGTACTTTTTTGAAATGTGAATAGGACATACATTGAAGAAATCACTGAACTGCATCACAAGACAAAAAACCCTCACTTGGGAATACTCAAGACCAAAGAACACATTACGCTAAGAAATGGAGATAGACGCAAAAAGAATGAACAACAATTTGATAGAACTATAAAAGAAGGCGGAGGACAGAGTAGGCTGCAGAATGCTGGTTTGTCTACCTCTGCTTCATTAGAGGTAACAGGTATAAGTAAGTAGGTACTTTTTGTAACGAAACAATTTGAACTACTTAATTTATTTAAATAGTATAACTCTATACAGATAACTTTTCGAACACTTATTCATATACAACCATATGAAAATCGATAATCCTGTATAATAGAGAGGTCAATAAAACATGTAAAAAAAATAATTTAAGAGTATGATGATTACTTATCACTTTTAACTAATAAACACAAATGACAAAACTTTCATTTGATGTGAAAAAACAACTATAGTAGTACTCTTCACAGTATGTGGTTACTACTTTGTGCCAATATAAACTAATCATGCATATATTTTGACATCAGTAATAGAATATGTAAATTGTTAAATTCTCGCTAAATTAAACAGATAATGAATTATAATTTGAGATGGATTGTTAAGTGGTATTCTGTACTTGTATGTAAGTGTGTGTGGGTGCGTGAGTGCGGTTATGCGGGTGTGTGCGGCTGTACCTTTGAAATTGTACTTGACAAGAAGTTATTCATATTTATTATTTGAATTACTGAGATTAACTGAATATATATAGTGTGGTTTTAAAACAATGTACATAGAGAATAAGAATACTCTACTTATGATTTGAGTACACATTAGAATATCACAAGTAAGAAACTAATCGTTGAAAAGAGTGCTAGAATGGTTCGATTGCCGCGAGTATGGGGATCATGGATGTGCACTGGCACTGATGAGTCCCATTCTGGGACGAAATGGGCTATCCAATGCTTATAAGTTTTCAACAGTGATCCAACAATGAATGATTCATTTTTCTTAAAATGAAACTCGACAATATTCAGAACTCTATAATGAAAATATTCAAAGGATTTTATTTTCATATTTTATGTTAGTCAGTCAGTCAGATGCAACGTAGAACTTCGTACGTAAGTACATCAGTTCATGTTGCCGTACCACCACATCAGCATAGAGATGTAATTGTCAATTCAAATCCAATAGTAGAAGAGGTAGTAATGGTATTAGAAGTAATCGGAGAGGTTAGGATTAGAAGATATTATTCAAGAAGTATGTGATTCAGTGAGAAAAGTTTAGAAAGTCAAAAGTAGAGGGGTTGAAGAATCCAGAAGATTAGGATTTATGAGAGAGAACACAAAGAATAAATGCACCGACGTCATTGCGAACAATTTTGAGCCATGTCATTCAAGGTCTCTAACCATCGATTATTATCATCTCACGGACCCCAACCAGGTGTAGTCGACAATTACCGTCACTTGTCAGGGACTTCATGGATTTCTTCCATGTTTTGGTTTGGCCGCCTCTAACTTTCTTCCAACCTACTCCTACACTACAAAACAAAGTTCGTCAAGGCAGTCGGTGGTTCGGCATACGCAAGACATCTCCCAACCACCTCAACTGATGAAGTGTCACTACTGCGTCTATTGATCTTCCATTCTTACCTCGCATTCGATTCCTAATAACAGCGTAGCTCACTCGTGTGTCCCAGGATTTACGAGCAATGTTATGATATTCATCTAATATCCTAAGAAAATTATTGGTCAATTCCTATTGGTTAATTCCTACTGGTCAATTTTATGGTCGTCCTAGATATCAGTGTCATGTATTCCAAGGTTGTTTCTTATTGGATGTTGTTCAATTGTAGAAATGTTGCCCTTTTCTTTGCCGATCTGCGCCTGCTGTTCAGGTGTGTAAAGGTTTTCACATACTCTAAGGCACCTCCATCAAGTGTAATTTGAGTCATAAAACGTCAAAAATACAAATCTTTACTCTCTGAGATGTCACCAAAAAATGAGAATTATGTTATCATTATAATTAATATCATAAAAGATATCGTTTATTAACAGAACGTGTGTACATCTAGTAATCTTGATTTGTCCAATGTTTTCTGATCTTCAAAACAATTGAATGACGTCAAGCAGTATGGATCTTCTGACACTTTCCCCTACGGTAGTGATTTCAGAATGACACTCTGCTGTAGACCACTGAAGAGCCTCTGTATAGTGTGTGTACTTTTATGTCAAGCCTATAGGGCTTGTCCCAAGCCTTCAGACAATTTAACTCATCCATTCTACCCGAGTTATTATCCGCACGTCTCTCGACCTTGCCAACTATCCAGTTTTATCGTAGTTGTTTTCCTTCGAGTAAGCACGTGCACCGCATACTTCGCTTGCTACATATCTGACTTTAAACACTTAGTCATGCTTCACTGCACGGAGTTAGCTTGCTCGCTTACTCCAGTTTGTTTCATCCTGCTTGTATACTGTACATTCTTGTCTATGTCTGCATAAACTATTGCTTGATATAAAATCATCCAACCGAATACGTACTTGGCTTCTTAGTGGCGCTGTCACACAAACAAGGTTCACCCAAGTATGATATACGGAAACTTAAAGGAAAATATACTTCGTCGCCTACTCAATCATTCATTAATACCGTAGTCAAGGTGGGCCACTAAACAGTACCTTGAGATCAACGCAGTCACTACAGTAGTAAGCACAACTTCGAACCTAACGAAGCCAGTAAAAAAATTGTTAAGTCTCGACGTCAAATTTAACGCAACCACTTTCACCAAACCGCGTTGCGAATCGTACTCATCATAGCACATCAGTAAATGTTACTTTTTAGTGTGAATGTTACGCCTGCACGCACACACGTCAACCTGGTATGCTTGAACTATTACGAGTTTACCTTAGTCGGAAAACGAGAGCGAGGATTGAGGATCCGGTGACACAACATGCTACTCAAACCCGATTATTCCAACCCCCATATTGAGTAAAAAATAAGAAGACCTGATATGAAGTAGAACCTGTATTCAACAAGCATCTAGAAAGTACGACATCCGAATCCAGAAGAGAATCAGGATCTCGGACTAGGGGTCCGGGACCGAGCCCTGGTCCTGGTTGTGGTCATATAACATTACGGAAAATGCGTTTTTATACATTTTGGCGGAATAGGTAACAGCGTCGAATTCTGTGGCATTGACAGTTTAGACGACCAATAGAAAGTAACGTTTGAAGTGACATTGATAGTCAGGAAAACCAATAAGAAAGAACATTTGAAATGACATTGACAGTCCGGATGACCAATAAGAGACAACATTGTAGTATTTGACTTTGACCAATAGAAATCGAACAGTAGGATTTGACCAATAATTCTCTTAGGATATTGGATGAATATCCTAACAGTGATTCATCTCCTTTTTTTTATGTTGGGGACGTTCACCAGAACTCACTTGATAAAGGTCTTGATTTTGGATTTTTCGTTTAAGCGCATTGGCTGATCAGTTGACCATGAGATTAAATTTCCCACCCGGAATATCCTTGACTGTCATTGGTTGATGTGTTGGTTATTTTAGTACGCTATTTTTGTGGCTCTCCCAAGGATGTTTCTATCATGTATAAATAAACTTGATTTGTGCGCGTGTCAACCTCATATTTCCTCAGGTGCCTGTAGAATACACTTTCTATGTCTTATCAAGACTATTACCTCTACTTAGTGTGGCCTTGGGACGCTCGGATTAGAGTAGCCCATCATGTCACTGGATCACTTGTCTTTGTTCTCGTTTACCGACTAAGGTGAACTCGTAATAGTTTCAAGCATATCATTTTATTTTATACTAGTGTGGTGCGAGCTACTTATAAGTAGTATATGACGTGAGTGTAAACGTAATGTCTGGCAGCAGAAGATGGGGGAAGATCAAGAAAGGGAGGAAGAGTGGGGGGAACACAATGGAATTTGTATGAAACGCATGAATAGTGAGTGAAATGTCAGACAATGGATTGATGATGGATTGAAGATTTGCAAATTAACCATTTAGTTTAGTTCACTCATATTTGACATTTTTTCAAAATTATTTCTACGATTCATTAAAACAAAGATATTGAAGACAAATTGAACAATGAAAGAAACCAAAAAAAGGGAGAGATGAGTTAAAAACTAAACAAAAAGCAAATGACTTACTCGAACAAATATTTGTGTACTTTTATCACCAAATAAATAACGTCCTTCACCAATACGTACCATTGGGAATGTTTGCTTACAAGTACATTGTGATAATAGTTCACGTACCTAAATTGAGAAGAAGAAGAAACACATATCAATAAATTTTTTTCATTAGAGAATTACAGCGATTGATGTGTTCAGAATGGAATCGTGAATCAGTCGCGACCAGCTGTGACCAGTGGAGTTCAGCGCTATCGGATGTGAGGCAGTGTTATAATGCTGCTACGTCCGAATTCAAATATTCCAATACGATCCAAATACTATTTCCAAATCTCCTATATCATATCAGAACGCAACACCGTTGGATGGAGTTGTTTATTGGGTCGAGTACAGAAGAGAGGAGGTAGGCAGGAAGAAACGGAAAACATGAAATCTTACAGATAGTGTGCCTATTTATAACTTTAGGTCGAATAGGAAAGGGCATCAAAGTCTGTGACATTGACAGTTTAGGATGACCAATAGGAAAGAACATTTGAAATGACATTGACAGTCTGGATGACCAATAAGAGACAACATTGAAGTATTTGACTTTGACAGTTAAAACGACCATAATTTTGACCAATAGAAATCGACCAATAGGATTATATTTCTAAAAATAATACTCTTAGGATATTTGGTGAATATCCTAACAGGCCATAACTACTGTAGACAATAGGTTAGGTTGTACAAAATCTATGGATTGGTCTAAGTTAGAGATGAACACGGTTGGATGTCAGCTCAATGGTGTAGAGGTTAAGCGTTTGCATGTGAGGTTAAAGTTCATGGATTCGATTCCTGTGAGTAGCGGATGCCAACTCAGTGGTCAAGATGTTGCACATTCGCACATAAGACCTCAAAAGTCTTAAGTTAGGGTCATGGATGCACAACAATGCTTTTGATGAGTTCCATACTGGAACGAAATGGCAATCACATGTCACACATTCATCTATTCATGACCCTTCAATGAACATCCTCACGGTAGTTACATTGTTTCAGAACCTGCGGAGATAAACTGTCAACCATTAAACAACTGAAAGCACTGTATATTATCCAAAAAGAAATAATCGTTTTAACTAGTTCAGAATAAAACACCCAATATATTACATATACTGTAAAACAAAGTTACAGTTATGTATCTGCTTACTAAAAGATCAACATATTCAGTGTTTGTATGTATGTATGGTAGGTATGTATGTATAGGGGGGAAGAGTGAGAGAGAGAGAGTTCTGATGATCGTTTCAAGTTCATTCAATTACATTGTATACTTCTCTATCCAGTATACACTTGTCATTTGATAAGATATCAATGAAACATTCACTAAACATTTTGAGAGTATAATTATTACTACTGATACTAATGACACTACTACTGTAGTGAAGGAGAACCGGATTGAATTTAACGAAAATTACAGAGTTACTCAGTAAAATCGGAAAACCATATCGTAAATCGTTAATTTGCAAAATATCAGTTCATCATATGGAACTGGACTGTTCCTGTTGCAAAACATCAATCCATTGTCACTATTCATGCGTTTCATACAAATTCCATTGTGTTCCCACTCTTCCTTTCTTGATCTTCCCCCATCTTCTGCTGTCAGACATTACGTTGACACTCATGTCATATACTACTTATAAGTAGCTCGCACCACACTACTACTACTACTACTGACACTACCACTACATCTACTCACACTACTACTACTATTACGACTACTACTATTACTATTACTACTACTACTCCACTACTACTGTGGTGCGCGCTACTTAAAAGTAGTATATCACGTGAGTGTCAACGTAATATCTGGCAGCAGAAGATGGGGGAAGATCAAGAAAGGAAGAGTTAGAACACAATGGAATTTGTATGAAACACATGAATAGTGAAATGTCAGACAATGGATTGATGATGGATTGAAGATTTGCAAATTAACCGTTTACGATATGGTTTTCCTATTTTACTGAGTAACTCTGTAATTTTCATCAAGTACAATTCAGTTGCCCTCACCTGTGTTCTCCTTCACTACACTACTACTACTACTACTACTACTACTACTACTACTATTAATAACCAATTAGAAACATACAAGCTAAATCGATTGAAAACTATGTTCAATATTTATGAAAGTAAGAATTTTCTAAGTGATTTGTTGTGTATGTGATGTATGTGTTAAAGATGAATTTAATTGATAATTTATATCGTGATTATCTCTGTTATTTAAGACTGTTTCTTGATCGATCAGCCACCATTGATATATATGTGGGTTTTGGATGGATTTCTGTGATAATTATCTTCATTGAAGAGTTATGACCAGATGAATGTCAGACATTAGATTGCCATTTCGTTCCAGTATAGGACTCATCAGAGATA